GATACTTCTCATTACAACCGTGCCTTAAAATCGACAGCCATGTTTTCTTAAAAACACTTACGTGTCGTCCTCTATCGGCGGCAACCAGAATTAAAAAAAAACGTCGTATTTCTTTTGTTAATCAATATTCGTGCGAAAGGACTTGGATTTTTTTTTTTTTTTTTTCTGAATATTTCGAATATTTTACGAAAATCCCTTAAGCTTGGACGGTCCGGGACGATTCTTAAAGTATTCGTGGCGTAACTTTGGTTGCATCGATACGATAGAGGCAGGAGATTAGACACGTAGAAAGTGGTGACGAAGAAGAAAGCTTCGTAGTCAGGAGGCTTTTCGCATAAGTCCTCGTTATGATTCAACGCGGCTTACGTCGGTTGTTCGCGGGTCCTTCGCCTTTCTCGCTATAACGTTAATTCTACCCAACAAGTTCCCTCGTCTTTCTCGCGTCTATTTTCAAAACGGAATATCTTGGCACATTACGCCAAGGGGACGCATTCGTGTCTTCTATTCCCGAGAATGCAGATTCCCGTCTTCTCTCTAAATTTTACGGAATATCGCTTTTCGAACAGAAATCGAATAAAGGATTTTACCCTGTTGCCACGTTGCCTCTGTTCATGCGCTTAGTGCATGTCATTAGCAATATTTTTATTTTCCAAGAATATCGAGTTGTTTTTAGATTCTCTGTTTCAGAAATCTAATTATTTATAAAAAGATACCAAATCTTGATCAATTTTAATGATCATTGTTCATTAAAAAACTTGGTTCGGATTAATAACTTTTTCGACATGATAATCTTTTGGTCAAAAAGAATCTTCTTTTGATAAAAGTATTGCACAAGTAAAAAATTTCCTATCGAAAGTCTACATTTCCTTGGCAACAAGATATTATATTACACATTAAATTCAATTGATGCGCCCAATTTTTGACGAACGGATTCATAGATCGTCCCTTAAAAACTTTCCACTCGATGGATTATCGTATACTCCTGCAATGCTAGCTCGTTAATCGCCACGATTATTAACATGCTCGTAATTGCACCTGATCGTGAACACCGATGCACGAGATAGAACACCCATATCCATATATACATACTAGCAAAATGGAGAATGACGATAACCAAAATATAGATCCAAGAAACTCAAAGAAACTTAAAAGATGCTCAAAGATCCTTAAAATAATAGATTCTCTTTTCCAATACTATAATATAACCTCTCCATTAGTTTCGTCGATGAAAAACTTTAGAATCTCCTTAAGAGATCGCTTCTCTCACGCTTTTTACATTTTTACATTTTTACCCCCCCAAGCCTTTCTACGCTCGCGCATCAAGCAATTGATAGGAGTATTCGGTGTGCATGTGCAGTGAAACCAATCGTGGTCACAATCACGATCGTAGTATTCGTAGTTGCCGGTGGTTGTACGAAGCGGAGAGAAAGAGAGAGAGAAAGAGAAAGAGAGAGAGACTCTGCTGGACAGTGGTGTTGGGGAGAGACAGGGTTGCGAGGGGCGGAGGGAGGATGGACGGGAGGGGAGTTAGCGTTGTTTTACCGTAAGGGGTTAATTGCATTGCCAATAACAGATAATGCAACAATCAATGATTTAAGGGAGGTGGGGTTGGGGAGGAATGGGGAAGGGAGGAAAGGACAGGAGGGAGGTGGGACAGGGACGGAGATCGGGACGTGGTCGAGAATGGGAATGAGGTTGGGAATCTGGGAAACGCGGATAGAGGAGGAGGAGGTGGTGCACGGAAGAGAGACGGAGGAGGCAAAGCGTGCGTATATACGTATACACGTGTGTGTGTACACCTACGCAGATACACGCGAGTGTGGATGGAAAGAGGTACAAAGTGCGCGACCGTGCGCGAGTTAAGGGTGGGAAGCTCACGACTCGTGCGTGGATGGACCGTGCTGGTGGTAACAAGCAGCGTGCACATCGTGGCGTACGAGGAGGATGGAAGCGTCGCGTGCGCTGTTCCCCTAAGGGCACCGATTGGTTAACTACTTGTCCAGTATGTATATGTATATATATATGGCCTACATACGTATTCTCTGCAAAGGAAGAAGGGATAGGATTACGAGTAATGCGATCTCGAGGTTGGTGATAGTTACGATGGATAGTATATAGATTTTGTCTTGGAAGGAAATATATATATATATATNATCGTTCGATTTGGCAATAGTCGTACAATGGTACTTATCGAGAAACTTTNTTGCAAACTTTTGCTCTCTGAATAGGAGAAGGAGGGGAGGGGGGGAAGAGTAATGTCCGTCAGGGAATTAATATAGGCAAGATTTGTTGTTATTGCGGGACACGCACACAAGCGGGGAGGAAGGGAGAAAGGGAGGAAGAGATTGGCGCAGAAATGGTGGCGCGGCGAAGGCTTTCTCAGGGTAGAGAGCAAACCCATTACTTACTATAACTGCCGTCGGCGGGGTAGGAGGCTGACCTGGTGGTAGGAGTTGCTGTCAGGCATCCATCATCGCGACTAATGGCTCCACTCTCCTGCCAATAACATCCGGGTGTGCACCACCGGCCGGAAACCTCTACGGTTTAGTCGCTTTGCTCGATCTTACGTTCAACTGCTCTTCGCTTTCCGTGCGGAGCCCGCCAACGAGATCGTCCCGAAATTCTCTCAATTTTCCTTCTCTGCCTCTCTGAAACGAAGAAATCTGTCATTTTGTAAAACGAACGAATGTATTTTTCACGGATCGTAATATATCGCGATACAATTAAACAAGAAAGAGAGAGAGAGAGAGAGAGAGAGAGGCGGTTTCGACAGAGTTAAACCCATCTTGGGATTGTGTTAAATGATTAGCTATGAACGATTCGATGGGTGGATAATGACGAGTAATGATATAGAGGGTAGGAATCGAGGCTTGCTCCTTACTTTCTTTCTTTTTATCTCCTTTATATCCGCGTTTTCTGTCTCTCTCCATCTCTCTCTTCCCCTCCCCCGTTGTTAACCCCTGCTCGATACGTCCTCTTCTCACGTCCTTTCTCTATCGCGCACCGGTTTGCGGATGTGGATATAGCCGAGATTGCGTCATGCATATGCAGCTGCATTTGGCATCGGAGTATGCCAGCCCAATCACAGCCGTGAAACTTGATTGTCGCCGATTATCCACCACCGATCGACCTAATAAAACGGGGATATTTTCCACCATTACCAACGCCCGTTTTCGCTCCTTTTCGCTTTCTTTTCGACTCGAACGAGATGCGACAAGATTTTCTTCCTCTTTTCCTCCCCCTTATATCCATTGTCCCTGTCCTTCCACTTTGTGTATATATTTTTTTTTTTTTTTTTTTTTTTTTTTATGCTTTTTCTCCTCCAAACCGGTTACCGGAATCATTCTTACGAAACGATTCATCGATCGAGCACCGAGAGAGAATTAATCGGGATGTATTCAAGGGCCTCGTCGTCGCGCCTAGCTGAATCAGGAATTTGAATAGCAAACTTGTTCGAGCCAAGAAGATTTGGCCGGTTTATTTTATATACGCTGACTCGCTTGCCCGACCAGCACGTATCCGGCACCAACATTTACGTATACCAGGCGGATAAGAACCAGCGGGTATGATACTTACCTGATTTGCAATGAACCGGAATGTACAATGTCGTGGTTCACAGAAATTTATAACACGTTTTACGAACGCCGATATTAATTTTCTGTGCGATTTTTATTTAAAAAAAGAGAGGAAAATGATAATTAATGATTGATATTTAGATAAATTAATTATTTCTTCGTTATATATAATTTTTCCTCTTTTCAACGGTACAACGGGCGAAGAAGAATATACGCGTATTTGTCTCATAGAAATATTTTAATTTTTCGTTGAGAAAAATTGAAAAATTGAAAATTTTAATAAAAATTTAATCGAGGAAAGTAAACAAATTTTCGATAATACGGGATAAATAAAAATCGGATAGAGGTAGGCTCTTTTAGTGAATATGACAAGTGAATATTCGGACGATATTGTAATAATTTTTGTTATGCCATTTCCATGATCGCATAATGAAAAACGAATCATTCTTCGGAATAATGCGAATAATTATTTCCAATTCATCCGATTATTATATTTTTCATAAATTGGCGCGCTAAATTCTCATTATTTTTTGCACATATAGCAAACCAAGAAAAGAAATTCTTAAATTTAATTTTTTTTTACGAATATTATCGATTTGGAACTTAATCGTGCGAATAAAATATTGCTTAATTACACTTAGATTTATCTTTATAAAAATAAAAAAAAAATATTTCTCTTATTGCAAAAATATTAATCGAGCTATTAAAGATACAAAGCTTATTAATATCGCGAGGGAATGAAAAATAGCACAATAATATAAAAGAAATTCTTAAATTTAATTTTTTTTTTACGAATGTTATCGATTTGGAACTTAATCGTGCGAATAAAATATTGCTTAATTACACTTAGATTTATCTTTATAAAAATAAAAAAAAAATATTTCTCTTATTGCAAAAATATTAATCGAGCTATTAAAGATACAAAGCTTATTAATATCGCGAGGGAATGAAAAATAGCACAATAATATAAAAGAAATTCTTAAATTTAATTTTTTTTTTACGAATGTTATCGATTTGGAACTTAATCGTGCGAATAAAATATTGCTTAATTACACTTAGATTTATCTTTATAAAAATAAAAAAAAAATATTTCTCTTATTGCAAAAATATTAATCGAGCTATTAAAGATACAAAGCTTATTAATATCGCGAG